GAGTCTTACTTTGTCACCCTTGATAGAGTGTGGTAGCATCATAGCTCACAGCAACCTCAAACTCTTGGGCTCAAGTGATCCTCTTGCCTCCGCCTCCCAAGTAGCAGAGACTATAGGTGCCCAACATAACACCCATTTTTAAGAGGTGGCGTGTTGCTGTTGCTCAGTCTGGTCTCAAATTTGTAAGCTCAAGCAGTCTACCCACATTGGCCTCCTAGAGTACTAGGATCACAGTCATGAGCCACCGCACCCAGCCTAGATCCTAAATATTTTAAAAATACTTTGAAATAGGATTATAACATATTGCAAACAAATGTGTTTCTTGGAAGTCTTCTGAGGTCAGTTAAAAAAATTTAGAATGGGCCAGGCATGGTGGCTCACACCTCTAATTCTAGCACTCTGGGAGGCTGAGTGGGTAGACTGCTTGAGCTCAGAAGTTTGAGACCAGCCTGAGCAAGAGCAAGACCCTGTCTCTATTAAAAACTAGCTGGGTGTGGTGGTGGGCACCTGTAGTCCTAGCTACTCAAGAGGGAAGAGAATCACTTGAACCCTAGAGTTTGAGGTTGCTGTTAGCTATGATGCCAATGAACTCTATCTAGGGTGACAGAGTAAGACTGTCTCAAAAAATTAAAAAAATACATATATTGGGCTGGGTGCAGTAGCTCATGCCTGTAATCCTAGTACTCTGGGAGGCCAAGGCGGACTGCCTGAACTCTTGAGTTTGTGACCAGTCTGAGCCAGAGCAAGATTCTGTCTCTAAAAATCACAGAGCATTGTGATGGGTGCCTGTAGTCCCAGCTACTTGGGAGGCTGAGGTAAGAGAATTGCTTGAGCCCAAGAGTTTGAGGTTGCTGTGAGCTATGATGCCACAGCACTCAAGCCCAGAGGGACTGAGACTCTGTCTCAAATACAACAAATTATATATATATATAAAATATAAAAATCTGGAACTCTATTCAGATATGGGAGCCTACCACAGGTTTTAGTGCCAACCATTACCTTTGTGACCTTCCTGAGCCTGTCTCCTCATCTGTATAATGGGATTATATATACACACCTAACTTCTAGCACTGTTGTAGGGGCTAAATCAGATAATACACATTAAACGTGCAAAAGTAACAGATGATGGCAGGAGGCATACAAGTAGGTAAATTTATGATAGATGATAATTATGAAAATATGACAAACATCATTGAGAGAGTTGGTGTTTTCCCTCAAGAGTTAAAGATGGATGATGGCATTTAGAATACTGGCAAGAAAAGAAGCCGGAAAGTACACACAGTCTATTATGACTAAAAGTATTTAAAAAAAAGGGGGGGGGGTTTACATGACTATATGCCCCAATACTATGTAATCAGCAAAAAAAAAAAAAAAAAAAGAAAGAAAAAAATACTTATTTGCGCATAACTCACTTCCCAACATACTATCAAATTCAGATTATCCTTTCATTGGCTTTAAATGAATTATGGGACTTAAGTTCTTTAAATAAAAGAAAAAAAAGTCTATTTTTGTAAAACGAATAATTTTTATTCAAACTAAATCTAAAGGATTTGTAAAAAAATCAGTGGCTTCTATTCAAAAGGGCCTAACATGAAAAAGTTGAAAAAAAATTAATGGCTGAAACCATTTCATTACGTGGCTGATTTTATCCATGCTAATGTGGCTATCTTTAAGTGCTTACACATACAAACACCAATTCCTCTCCATGGGTAGTAGGCATTTAAGCTCCTAAGTAAGAAAGCCAGTTCCACTTATTTGACTACCTGGAGTGAGAGCAGGCGGCTGGCTCAGGAAGGCTTTTATGGGCTGATTCATTCAGTCACAAATACCAAGTGAGTGCCTCTGGTGGGGGACTGGATTCTCACTGCCAAGATGGCATCAACGTGAGTCTCCATTGGAAAAAAAAAAAGTTTTATAACATCCTTGTTCACATTGTGTCTTTTGAAATCTCAGTCATCTCTCAAGCTCATAGTCAAAATGCCCCTCTTTGTTTTTTTTTTTTTTGGTTTTTTTTTTGCCATTTTTGGCCAGGACTGGGTTTGAACCCACCACCTCCGGCATATGGGACCAGTGCCCGACCCTTTTGAGCCACAGGCACCACCCAAAATGCCCCTCTGTGCATAAGTCCATTCCTGATCCTCTGTCTCCTCAAATCTCAACCCGAGGCAGAATTAACCACTCTTTTGGAGTTCCTAAAACCCTTTGATCAAGTATCACACATCTATGATATTCATATTGCCACAGGATTATGCATACCATCCATCTAAAAACACAAAGTAAGGTAAGTGTTAGGCCTTGACGATGTGTTGAAAATAACCAGATGAACAAAAAAATAGGCCTGGTGCAAAAGGAGCTCATGACCCAGTGGGGGAGTCAGGCAGACAATATATTAATTTCAGCAAACACAACCATATTAATAGTGACAGGAACACAGTAGGCTAAGAGTACAAAAAGGACAGAGATAGACCAGGGGTAGCTTCAGAGAGGATGCCTTCAGGGCGTGTTGTAGGATGAACAAGTGAGTACTAGGAAGAGAGAAAATCAGTTTCAGCCGAGGAGTGAAACTTGAGTAGAAAGTTTCAGTTATCCAAGGTGAAAAAGTTCTGAAGATTGCTGGACGACATTCCAATTAAAGTTAATAGTGCATGGAACACTTAAAATCTGTAAAGAGGGTAGAATCTCATCATGTTGTGTGTTTTTTACCAACACTTAAAAAAGAAGAAGAACAAACAGCCTGGCCTGTCTGGGAGCCTGCAAAGAGATCACTGCTGCTGGGGTTCACAGGGGAAAACAGAGAAGGAAAAGAAAGCTGGAGAACAGAATAAGAAACTTGATCAGAATAGGCCTTGTGACCAAGGTTTAGCTTTTATAATAATTTCCTATGCAATGAGGAGCCACAGGGAAATAGAATCAGAGCTGCATTTTGGAGCAGCCACTCTGGTGGTAGTGTGGGAGACACACTGGCTAACAGGGGTAAGCATGGAGGCTGATCAACTCTGATGCCTTCTAGGTGAGACCTAAAGGCTTGGGCTAGGGAAATAAGACAAGAACAGGACTTGCCTTCTACGACACTTAACATTTTCTGGAGTTATTTGATTAGTTCATTTGCTATTTTTCTAAAATATAAGTTCTAAGTTAGGAGTCTGTCTTGCTCACACTATATTCCCAGTTTAGAACAGGGCCTTATATACAACAGATGCTCAGTAAACACCTGCTAAATGAACAAATCCCCTGAGGGCAGAATCTCTGGCTAATGCGTAATATATTCCTCAGCGCTTACAGTAGAATGTATATAAACGATGCTCAAAAATGTATGTGTGTGTTTTAAGGCACATGCTCTGGATTTGTCCAAATAATGACATCAAATTTTTTTGGTGAAAAGTCCAAAGACAGAATTTTTCCAACCATAAGCTCTGCACAACCCACCTGGGCATCCAGCAATCCAGCTGGGCTCATTCTGCTTTGTACATAATCGCTGGCAACAAAGCCTCAGCAATTACAGCTCAGCTGTTGGTTGTGCTGACAATGGTTGGGACGGCCAGTGACACTAAGGAGCACCCCTCTATCCCCCTCACCCCCGCCTACCCTGTTGTTTATACCTCCTAAGGGTAGCTGCAGCCACTGCCAGAGGCATGTTACCAAGCAGATGCCTCCTCACACTGCCCCACAACCAGTATCTTTGGGGTATGTATTTTCCCCAAAGAGGAAGGATAAAAGGGACTTAATTTCTGTTATATCAAGAACCAGTAAAAGGGAAGTTTTATAGCTCTTGTAAAGTGAATACACCAGGCTCAAGCAATCCGCTTGAATGACTCACCTCCATGGTCTACACAAGTCCTCCAACTGCCAGTTTTAAGTCAGCGGCCTGCTCAAAGGAACTCTTCCAACAGTATGCATTCTCTACCTCTGAGAAAAAGGCCCCTGACGGTATCTCCACTAATGTCAATCAAAATTAATTTCTGGGAATCCACACTGTATTTACTACAATAGGGGCAGGAGCACAGGCACTAACCCAAGATTAAGACCTGGGTATAAATTCTGACTTCCACTTACCAGCTATGTGATTTCATGATATAGTCTGAGTCCCACTTTTCTCATTTGTAAAATGGGAATAATTGCCTCTGCCTTACAAGGTTCCAGAGAGATTGCATGAGGGAACCCACATGTGATAAATATGGTGCTTGATACCTAACAGGCAGTTACTTAATGTTCATTATTTCTCTTATTGGGTGGGAGCAGGTTAGAAATAGCTACCCCTATGGAGTAGGCCTCATAGGGTCTTATACACAGGGAAAAGAAAGCAGCTCATGGGAGAGAACGTAGGGCAACTAACAGCTAGCAGCTTCTGCCTCTTCTATGCTTGAAAAAGTTACACAATGTGAATGATAGAGGCTGTCCCAAGTACATAAAGAAAACTAATCTGTTTGCAAAGGGAGGAAATAGCACAGGATGAAGATTGTAGTTGTTTGAAGCTTCTTTCCTAATTACCACTCATAATGAAAATTTAATTGCCAAGTTAAAAGCAAATTTCACTTTTTCTGTCAGAGAATCTCTGTGGAAACTGGCACATTTTGTTTGAACAGGAAATCAAAGTTACTTTAATGCTTAAATGAGATCTAAGGAGCTGCAGATGTTTCACTGGGAATAGCAAGCTTCAAAACTCTGCTTTACTGGGTTGCAGCAATCATGGCTATAGGGAGAAAGAAAAGCTGTTTTGAGCTGGGTAAACCAAAGTAGAAGGGATTCAAATCACAAACATCTCAATGTTAGGCACTCAGGGGGCAAGGTGGGGAGAAGGTGGTACAGACAGAGGGTCACTGGCATAGAGAAGTTTACAAACAAGTTTAGAGAAAGAGAATGAGGAAACATCTGAAGATTAAGAAGTTTCAAGATTAGTTGAAGTTAAGCAATCTTTGGGTCATGAAATAAAAGTAAGAAACAAAACACATACCCTTGCCTTAATTCTGACCCACATGCACGTCAGCCAAAAGCCCGCTCACCTGTAAGGTGCTGGTGAGGAAGTTGTTTTGGGAAACAATGTCTACGAAGAAATCGGCAGGGATCTCACCAAGCTGGTGGTACAGGAGGGAGATGAGGTTGCTGTAAAGGGTGTGGTGCTTCACCATGGCTGCTTCTGACCGGCACAGGAGGTTCAGGAGCCGCTTCCAGTGCTCAAATGCCTCGTACACATTCCCCAGCAGGAAGCATACAAAGGCAAACTGGAGTTCACCTGCAAGGTGCAGAGGAGAAATGGTTCTGAAAGAGAGGAGGACTGTTCACAAGGCCATAAATTCCACTGGACCTCAGCAATGAGGTCCAATCCTTGTCACTCCTGCAATGTCTTGCATGGACTTTTGCATCTAGCAAGGTACTCAGTGTTTGCTATAAATCCAAGGCATGTGAGACCAAACTGTGGCTTTGGATTTCTATAAAATCAGACTGCAAGAGAAGAGGTATTCTCGTATTTGCCTGCCATTTTAAAAGTTCACAAAATGCGTCCATCGGTATTAAGCCAAGTGAATCCCAAACCTGGCTGCCCATCAGAATTAATTACCAGGAGAGTTTGCTGAAAGTAAAGCTGCCCTTGCCACATCCTGAGATTCTGAATGAAGAGAGATGGGGCCTCACTATTTCTAGCTCTAACAAGCTTCCCAGGTGATTCTGATGCACACGGTGTGCTCCAAAGTCAGAGGAATGCTGCATTACACCAGGAAACCCTCAGCCCAACTCCACCAGATCAGGAAAGGTGGAATTTGCCTCATTTTATAGATAAGGTCAAAGGCTTGCCCAAGGCTGCAGATCTAATGCTTCACAATATGAACAATGGAAAGATAAAATAAATTCTCTAATGGGTAGGTAGGAATAGTTCTAGAAACTCGAATAACAAGAAAACTCAAGATTACTCATTCCAAGGTTAGCCTTCCAGCCAGATTATTTTGGTTTGTTTAATCACAGGGCTCCGAGATTTAATCTCTATGAGCAGTCTGGTGGCTATGAGCACGGACTCTGGGGCCAAACAGCCTGGATTCAAATCTTAGCTAGACCACTAGCAGCTGTGTGACCTGGGGCAAGTTAGTTAATCTATTTAAGCTTCAATTTCCTTATTTAAGGGTTGTAGTAAAGATTAAATGGGTCAATGAAGCACATGTAAAGCATCTGTAATAATACCTAGCACAAAGTAGCACTCAAAAAGTAGTATTATTCCAATTTCCACCAGATGTCTGTCTCAAACAAAAAGACCTAATGATCCATAAGACACTATCCTTGGGCAAGCAACTGGTCTCTGGTTGCCACAGATATACCGTAACCAATCACAGACATTCTCTCTGGCTTCCAAGACTATATGTGCAACATAAAAAGAACAGATGCAGCTGGACATGGTGGCTCTTGCTTGTGATCTCAGCACTTTGGGAAGCTGAGGCAGGAGGATTATTTAACATAGTGAGACCCCTAGCTTTACAAAAAAATAGAAAAATTAGCCAAATGTAGTGGTGAACTCCTATAGTCCCAGCTACTTGAGAGGCCTGATGCAAGTGGATGGATGGCTTAAGCCCAGAAGTTTGAGGGTGCAGTGAGCTATGATGAGGCCCTCTACTCCAGGTGACAGAGGGAGGCCCTGTCTCCAAAAAACAAAACCAAACAAAAATAACCTAGATGTGCTCAACACGAATCACCTCTTTAAATACATGAGCTTTGTTCTCTGTCACCTCTAGGCACCTGGAAAAACCAGTTCCCTGTTCCTAAGCTTATGGAACTAAGTTTGATTTGTGTGAATTAGCTACATGGTCTAGATATTTTGGACATTTGGTCAGTATTTTCAAAATACAGTCTTATTTACTGAAGCACTAAATTTGTGCTCTTCTGACCTTGTCTAAAATTAAATTTTGGTATCAGCAGTAATTTTAAAAAGCTGTCACATGGACTGAAAGTTATACCTGTAACAGATCTTTTCATGAGATATATTTTCATGATCTGAAATTTTTAAGAGGTAGAAAAACAGGATTTTTATTTATTTTTAAGCCATGATTTCAAGTGTTACTTATTACATGAAATTACTAAGGAACGCACTTAAATGTATTCATTACAATAAATGTCCTTTATTATATCCACAGAGTCCTATAATCCAATTTCTCATCAAGCTTCCCATAGGAAAACATGTAAATTACCTGAACAATTTGTAAAAAAACAAAAAGTTGTAAAGATGAGACAAATGTTTGCTGTGACTAGTATTTAAGAAATATAAATAAAAACAGGATACCACTTTTAACTATTCAATTGGAAAAGGCCTTTGCTAAATCACCATGCCCATTGCCATCAAAGGTAATGGGCAACTGCCTCCTTACCAGGTGGTGGGAATTCAAAATCTTCTCCTGGCAACATGCACTTCTGATCCAACAATTCTTACCCTAATGTATGCATATGTACACACAAAGATGGCATTTATAATAAGGAAAAATAGGAACATCTTAAAGGTCCATCAACAGAGAACTGGTTCAATAACCAGGGAATACTAAACAGTCACTAAAAAGGAGTGATATTTCAGTGACATGGAAAAATGCTTATTAAAGTAGATTACAAGGCTCGGTACCTGTAGCCCAGTGATTACGGCGTCAGCCACATACACTGTGGGTGGTAGGTTTAAGCCCGGCCTGGGCCTGCTAAACAATGACAAGTGCAACCAAAAAATAGCCAGGCATTGTGGCGGATGCCTGTAGTCCCAGCTACTCAGGAGGCTGAGGTAAGAGAATCGCTTAAGCCCAAGAGTTTAAGGTTGCTGTAAGCTGTGATGCCGGGGCACTCTACCAAGAGCAACATAATGAGACTCTATCTCAAAAAATAAATAAATAAATAAAGTAGGTTACAAAATAATACACTTTAATCCTGTTTCTGTAAAAAGTCATATATGCATGTAAACACATATAACTGAATTTTTAAAAGACTAGCAGGAAATACATAGAATAAAGACTGAAATGAAATACACAGAAATATGTAGAAAAAAAAGAAAATATACCAAAATGTAAAATAGGTTATTTCTAGGGGGTGGGATGTGGAGTAAAATTTTTCTTTCACGATGAAAATATATTATTATTATTGTTATTATTTCTTAAGCAGGCCTGGGCCAGTTCAAACCACTGCCCCTGGTGCACAGGGTTGACGCTCTAACCACTGAGCTACAGGTGCCCAGCCAAAATATATTATTTTTGCAATGAGAAGGAAAGCAACAATGGAAACTATGATGATTTTTTTTTTTTTTGAGGCAGAGTCTCACTTTGTTGCCCTTCATAGAGTGCATCATAGCTCACAGCAACCTCAAACTCTTGGGCTCAAACAACTCTCTTGCCTCAGCCTCTCAAGTAGCTGGGATTATGTGCCCACCACAATGTCCAGCTATTTGTAGAGACAAGAGTCTCGCTCTTGCTCAGGCTGATCTTGAATCCATGAGCTCAGGCAATCCACCCGCCTCAGCCTCCCAGAGTGCCAGAATTACAGGTGTGAGCCACCTCGCCTGGCCTGAAACTGTAATTTTTTTTTTTGAGACAGAGCCTCAAGCTGTCTCCCTGGGTAGAGTGCCATGGCATCACAGCTCACAGCAATCTCCAACTCCTGGGCTCAAGCGAGTCTTCTGTCTCCACCTCCCAGGTAGCTGGGACCACAGGTGCTCGCTACAACGCCTAGCTGTTTTTTGGTTGCAGCCATCATTGTTGTCTGGTGGGCCCAGGCTGGATTTGGACCCACCACCACAAGTGGCTGGCGCCTTAGCCACTTGAGCCACAGGCACTGAGCCTGAAACTGTAATTATTTAAAGAAGAAAAATCACTGTCCTGCTCTGAGTCAGTAGACAAACCACCATCTTCAGAGTCATGGGCAAACTGAGGCAGCAGGTGAGAAGCCACTTAGAACACAGGTCTGACCTAGGAACAAGGCACCTCTACATACAGGATGGGTCATATTGGTGATTCCCAAACACAGGGTTATCTGCACAAGGTTCACCTAGGATTCTTGTTTATTAGCTAGACAGACAGATACAAATTGCTGACATTTCCCTCCAGACCTGAATCAAAATCTTCAGGAATGAAGGCATAAAGATTTATATCTTTAATGAGTATTCAAGATAAGTCTGCCTCCCAGCCAGTCCCCCTGGCCCATTCCCAAAGAGCCTTGCTCCTTCTTACCAAGCACATCCTGAGGGCTGCTGGGGAACTGCTTGCTGAGCACAGTCTCCAGGGCATAGCTCAGGTCCATGCTGTGTCTGGTTATCTCTGCAGGTGTGGCACCTGCTGGGAACATCTGTGTAGGCAGTTCTGAAAAGCGAATCTCTGTTCCAGCTCTGGGCTTCATCTCAGGCAGCCGGGCCAGGCCCTCTTGGTAACTTTTGCACTCAGTGCCACAGCGGGGTAGATTCTGCCCTGCCCGGTCCTTGGTGTGCTTCATGGAGAGCACAGGTAGCACATCTGAGAAGGCACAAATCTGCCGGCTCTCAGGCTGTAGCCTCTCTACTGTGGCCTCACTGATGAAGTTGGTTAGTGAGATCCACTTCTTGAGTGTGGCATATGGGTAAGGTCCCAGGAACTGGTCCAGCTCCTGGAGATTGGCTCTCATGGCTTTCACTTCAGATTCTGGGACTGGGGACAGGTCTATCTCTTCTCGGACCGCGTTCCAGTGCAGGACTGTCAGCTCCCGCTGCTGCAGGTTAAGGAAGAAGCCTGTTCGAGGGCCCACCTCCCTGGGATTGGCCTTGTCCACAGAGCTGTAGTGGAGGAAATGGATGCCTGGAGGGATCATCTTCACACCGCGGAACTTGGGCCCCACCTCCCAGGAGTTGTAATCAATGCCAAATTCTGTTCCTTTGGGCATATTCAGGATGACCACAGTGGCCCCTTCAAAAAAGAGGAGCTTGGCTAGCTCAGGATCCATCTGCATGGCAGCCAAGGGGCCAGTAGTGGCTGACCAAATGGAAAACTCTTCTTCCTTGTCTTCCAGGAAAGCTGAAAAAGAAGAAATCAGAGTTAGTCAGAACTTAGGGTAGGGAAGGATGCTTCATTTGCTAAGCATACTCTATTGAATTACACCCCTAACATAATTACCTCTCTTAATTTGCACAACCCTGAATCCATTTTAGAGATAATGAAAATGAGGATCAAAAAGAAAAGGATTTTTGTGTTTTGGATGAACGAGCAAAAATGCTCACTTCACAGCTATAAAGACACCAGTGAAAGAAAAGTGACATGGTCAAGATCACACTAGGATACATATTAGAATCAAGGAACCCTACTCTGGAGACCATTGTTCTTTCCACGCTCTACTGTTAGGATTTTCTCTAGGCTCTCTCATAACAGAGGATAATGGTGGAAAAAACCTAATAGTTCATTTTAAACTATAATTATGCCAAGTGATGGGCAATTCTCTTAAATGCACGAAACATAGCTAAATGTTCTAAGTACTGCTTTTTTTTTTTTTTTTTTTTGGCAGTTTTTGGCTGGGGCTGGGTTTGAACCCTCCACCTCTGGCATATGGGGCTGGAGCCCTACTCCTTCAAGCCACAGACGCCACCCTATAATTATGCCGAAATCATAATTCTGCCTAAACTATAATTCTCCATCAGTGGAGAGTCCCAGAAGAGTTGGGAAGAATAAAGTACATACCCAGTTTCCTGTAAGCCATGGGGAAGGCCCAGAAATAAACAAAGTAGAAAGCAGAGACTAAGGAGCTAAAATTTACAAAAGGTTTGGGGAGTGGAGAGCTTTCAACCACCAATCCTCCTTCTTTTACTCACTAAAAAACCCTAAATTCCAGGGAGTGAAACTTCTCAAAGGGCCTGCAATCAGTGGCAGCTCTGGATCATTTATCCAGAATAGATCCAGATGCCAGAGTTGGCCTAGGATCAGTATTTAGAGGAGAATGAGCTTAGAATGCTTATTTTACCTACCTCTGAACTACTCATGAAGACATACTTACAAAACCTCTGTAAATACATGGCATCTGTGGCATTTATAAGAATGGTTCCAACTTAACTAATTTAAACCAAACCATTATCTAACCTTCTAGTCATAAGCTATCTACCCAATCAATTCAACAAATACTGAGTGCTGGACTGTGCTAGGATCCTTGCTGAGAAACAGCCACAAAGGAAGACAGTTGCTGCCCACCAAGTACTTCCAATCTACCCAGATACAGAAACAAGACCCCAAATGTCACAATCAGAAAAGCCAGCTGCCTGTTTGTTTACTCTTTTTAGCTTAAACAAATCAGTGTACAAAGAGCAACCTTTTTCCAAAAATATTGAGGATATCTTTTCTTTTCTTTTTTTTTTTTTTTTT